ACCCCACGTATAGCTACCCATGAACCTCCAAGTAAACCCAAAAGCCGAGCCCAGTTCCGAACCCACTACCCCTTGTTTAAGGAATACACAACCAAGAAAACATAATATTAAGGCGCCTACTATTTAAGGAATATACTGCCCAAAACCATAATATTAAAGCCCCTGTTATTTAAGGTGTATATTCCTACTTAATTAAGGGGTATTGGGTTCTCTGGGTTCAGGCTCTAGACTTCTAGCTCATAGTGGGATCGTGCTAAAAATGTAAACCCTTATTCCTTATAGAGTTGAAGTACACATAAACAGTGTAAAATGTTGCCCAAACCCCTAAACCCTAAAAACTAAACCCTAAATCCAGAACAACTTTGATAAAGACTGTAAGGCCACAGGGCCCCAGACTGCGTAGTTTCGGCTTTGGTGCTTAGTATTCAGACTCAGACTTCGGAGTGTCGGAGGTCCTGCTCCTTAAAAGTCCGACGCTTGGGGTTCGGGATTTCAGGTTTCAGAGTTCGCGGGCAAAACCCTGAAACAGGGTTTAGGGTTTAGGTTTTGAGTCGAAGGAAATGCACATCCCCCGAGCACAAAGCTAGAGCCCTAATCCCGAATCTTAATCCTAGGGTTCAACACAGGCGGCTGAGCGGCTCTGCTTGACCTACTTGGAGGCCCAGGGGACTTAGTGAGTCGGTGAGAAGTAGGGTTATATTTCGGGTAACTCCAGTTAGGGTACTTATAACTCTACTTATAACCTACTTACTAAGTCACCTGGGCCTCCAAGTATTGCATGTGTCGAGATGTGGTAAATTGGTCTTTCGCTCTTGTTTTCTTCAAGAGTATTCAGAAATGCGCGGGTAGCAGAGAGAGGCAAGCTCCCATTTGCCATAACGACGTCACGACGTCCTCCATGCCAAGAAAGAGCAGCCGGACGACACAACTAAACCCTAAACCCTAAACCCTAAACCCTCAACCCTAAACCCTAAACCCTAAATTACGCCAACGTCGTGACATGTGTTTCCCGGTGCTCCCAGTATCCGAGGTCACAATAGTATGCGTCACCCCCTTCGAAAAACCCACACCATTCCTAGTGCTTCCAACGCATAGCCCTGCCTTCTTCACATCTTTGCTCGATTTGACTCGGCGTGTAGCTTCTTCATTTCGCGGCCGATACCCAAGGCGCCTGGCCTAAACTCCCTAAACTCCCTAAACCCTAAACTCCTTAAACCC